TTTTTTTTCCCCCACTTCAGCACCAGGGATCGAACTAGGGACCTTGCACTTGCCAGGCGAGTGCTTATGTCACTGAGCTATATCCCCAACCCCTACTTTTTTTTAACCATCTATGAAGTTGGAAAAATTTTAATACTCATCAGCTGTTTTAATTTCTTGTTTTCAGCCTCCTTTTGTCCCAAGTCCATTTTCTAGAAAACTATTTTTCTTGTTGATTCTTCACAATTTTACAATGTTGTTTACATATTAAGCACATTGATGCTTCCTGCCATAGTTGTGGCAAACATTTCCCCTAGTTTCATTATCTGATTGTTAAACCTAATTTTACATTTTTAAGCCAAAGGTGGGGCCTTTGGCTTTGGTTTCCCCATGGCTTTCGTGTTTACACAATCCATTCCTATTCTAGGGCACGTAGGTATTCACCTCTGCTTTCTTCTACTTTGTCCCTGCTGTGGAGTTCTTCCTTGGAAGGGAACAAACTTAGCTCTGCAGCTCCGAGTGGCTTTATCTCTGGGAGCCAAAGATAGGAGCTGACTGCAAGGCTTAGTTCTGTCTCTAAGGGACAGTGAAGTCCAGGCCAGGATCTGCTTGTTCTTGACCACAGTCTCCACTAGTCTGAGTCACTGTCAAGATGTCCAATGAGCCAACACCAGAAAAGATGACAAGGGTAGAGGGACAGTAAGAGGGAAACAGCCCAGGGACAGGAACTAGTCCCAGGATACCTACTGATCCCCAAGTCTAGACCCAGAGCCACTTGGCTTCCATCTCTAGGGGCAGGATTGCTTCAGGGAATGGAGCTCAGAGGCACCTCAGTGGGGCGCATCTGGCTCCCTCTCCCCTCCCCGAGCCCTGTGACTCTCTGGAAGCCCCTTTGCCCCCATATAGACAACTGGAAGCAGGAATTGACAAAGTTCATCAGCCCTGACCAGCTGCCTATGGAGTTTGGGGGCACCATGACTGACCCAGATGGTAACCCCAAGTGCCTGACCAAGGTACAGCAGCCCAGAGGATGGAGAGGGAGGGAACCCACCATGGCCCGGTGCCTGATCGCTCACCCAGCATCACCCACAGATCAACTACGGAGGTGAGGTGCCCCGGAGCTACTACCTGCGAGAGCAGCTGAGGATACAGTATGAGCACAGGGTGACCGTGGGCCGAGGCTCCTCCCAGCAGGTGGAGAATGAGATCCTGTTCCCAGGCTGTGTGCTCAGGTAAGGGAGGTGGCTGCCCACACCTGGCACAGCTGGAAGACGGCACTCAGGAGCCTGAGTGGAAGGTCACTGGGGCTTTGTCTGCTGCAGATGGCAGTTTGTATCAGATGGCGGGGACATCGGCTTTGGGGTTTTCCTGAAGACCAAGATAGGGGAGCGGCAGAGTGCTGGGGAGATGACAGAAGTTCTGGCCAGCCAGCGCTACAATGCCCACATGGTGCCGGAGGACGGGAGCCTCACCTGCCTCAAGGCTGGCGTCTGTAAGTGTTAGCAGGAAACAGTGCCACCTAGAGGTTGGTCAGGGAGGGTCCCTCAAAGAGCCTTCTAAGTGAGCAAGCGCCCTGTACTCTAAGCACAGGCCGTAGCTCCCTGGCTGGCTACCCACGTGTGGATTTACCACCACGAAGAGCAGGAGCTCAGGTGGAGTATCCTGTCTGAACATCCATCTCTCACTGCAGATGTCTTGAGATTTGACAACACCTACAGCCTGGTTCATTCTAAGCACATCAGCTACACCGTGGAAGTGTTACTTCCAGACCAAGCCTTTATGGAGAAGGTGAAGTTCTAGACCAATCATTTGGCCCCATACCCTCCTCTCCGATCTCTGGACCCACAGTGAGCTCACAGCCTTCCTCGACCAGACCCCTGCCCAGCCCCTCCAGGGACAGCTACACTAGCAGGTTGCAGTTTGGCCATTATTGCTGGGAGCAGTGCCCTGGTGGCCACAAGAAAAAGACAGACAATCTATCCCCACTCTCACCTCCCATGACCTTGAACTCAGCAAAAGCTCCAGGCCTTTCTCTATGAACTGATGAAAAGAAATGAATTACTGCTTTAAAATACAGTATATTAATGAAACGTTGGAGATACAGTAAATCCAACAGATCGGGAAACATTTCTATTGAAAGAAGGATACTTCATTATTCACGGGTCCCCTAAAGAGGATACGCTATTCCATGAGCAGCTACACTGGGGAAGCTAGGGTCAGACAAGAGTTGGAAGGAAGCTAGATGAAGTGGTACACGCCTGTAATCCCAGCTACTCGGAAGTATCCCCAAATTCAAGGCAATCTGTGAAATTTAGTGAGTCCCACTCTCAAAGATTAATACAGGGCTGGGGACATGTCTCAGTAAAATAAGCACTTGCCTGGCAAAGATTAATAAGGACGTGAGCTTAGGTTAGTGTGAGGCTCTGTGTTCAATTCCCAGTACTTGGCAGGGTAGGGATGGATAAAGGTAAGAGGGAAGGGAAGAATTCTGGCCAAGGGCCTTTATTATGATTTCCATGGGGAGGAACAGGTGAGACTGGGTTAGCAGGCTTGTGATTTGCTAATCTGAATAATTCCAGCAGTTTCTAGGGCATAGTACTGTTGCTAGTCATCTGCTTCCTGGCACTGGGGTAATTAGGACAGGAGAATCATGGCCCAGAGTGAAAGATCCTGAAGAGTGAGCTGGGGGACACAGGCCTGGGTCAGCTGGTCTGTCTGTGGGAAGCTACTGTGCGCATGTTGTTCACTCTCTAAGACCCGAACTAACCTGGGAGAGGATAGATCCCCCCAGGCCAGTGAGGCCCTAGACGTCAAAGAATCAAAATACTGAAAATAAAAGGTACGATTAATACAGTTATCAGCAAGTAGTTACATAATTGCTGCTCTGAATATAAACCCAACCTCGAAGCTTCCCCATCTAGAAAGAACTCGGGATCTCAGTTCAGACTTCTGCACACCCACTTTGCCTCCCAGCATTACAGCATCTGAGAACCTGCCCACCCTCTGGGTCTCCATCCAAACGTCCAGTTACAATTTCAGCCTGAGTCTGACCATACTGGGTGTCAGGCTCCACAGCGCCATCAGGATAGCACTGTCTTGCCAGCCAGACCCCTTTGAGTCTGCCTATGCTGTCAGGAGAGATTCTGAGTTTCCTGTCATGGGATAGACCTCAGTGTGGTCATGTGGAGGACCACCTGGGCAACTCTCCTTGAAAGAAGAGCGGTTGTCTCCATCTTGGCTGAGCCTGACCGTATTTCCACGTATTCATGTGTACAGAGCTGGCTAGGACTTCTCCTTCTCCCTTCAGCTGGCTTTGAGCGATGCATATCATTCTAGCAGAGGTGCTGGTGGTGGTCCTGGAAGACAGCAGGCATGTTTCCCCAGAACCCCCACCTGCTGCTCCCTAGTGTGAGCCAGGTTGAGACAGGGTGAAGAGCCAGTGCTCCATGATGTTGCTGCTAGCTTGGATCGAGCCTTGAGGTAGGGGCTATGACTACCTGGGACTTGAACGATTACACATCAGAGCTGAAGCACCAACCCCAAAACACTGGATACTATCCCAGTTATGTAATATGAATTACTCTTTCTGCATATCGTTCTCCACATATTGCAGAGGTGATTTCAGGCTCCTACCTGGCCCAGCTCACAGCCATTCTCATGGTCATTCATCCTCAAACCACTCCTCCTTCATGAATGAATAAAACCCAGGTGTGGCCTTGGGTCAAGGCCTTTGTTCCAGTGAGCCATCCTCATGGCTAGAGTTGGCTCTCCTTAACTACAAATACACCTTGGTGTCTTTATTCTCACCATCAGTTGCACTGGAAGTTCTAGATTAGCATTAACTCACTAGAATTCCAATAACTTTTCTTGGGATTATGAATACACACTTCCTGGGCTGTAGTGAGGACCAGGAAGGGCTTTCTGCATGCTCACTCCAGTCAGTTGCTGAAGTACTCCCCTCACTGAGCACAGTGCCAGAAATCCTGGCCCAAAATGGGTAACTGGCCATCGAGGGGCCTGGTTCTTGGTGATCCCATGTTGGTTCCCGGGGCTGACTGTTTTCATTCTTAAGTCCTTACCGTCCAGCCCTACCCAACAATCTCTTCCAGAAATTTGGCAGCAAGCTTACTCAATGGATACTGACACTTGTTGACTGGGTCCTTCACCCTCCGTGATTCTTATACGTTTGTACCCACTCTGTTACACTGAGCAGCTGGCACCATGGAGCTGGCACCATGGAGCTGAAGCACACATGGGCTACAGTAAAATCTCTGAGGGGCGGACCCTGGACCGCCAAGGCAAGGACAGAGGGATTCCCCTGGCTCTGCTGTGCCTCGTGTTCTGCTCCATCCCACCCACTGCCACTGTCATTTCTAAGTTTACCTTCCTTGCAGGCTACCTGGGCCATGGGTATCCTGGCCCAGCATCCTTTGCTAGGGTCTTAATCATTTTATGCATTGCTGAGACATAACACCCAACATGCACACATTAAAGGAAGAAGGGCTTATTTGGGTTCCCATCTTCTACAGGATTCAGATCCCAGTCAGCTTGCTCCAAGGCAAGGTTTGGTGGAAGGGTCTGGTGAAGCAAAGGTGCTCATGTCAGGGTTGCCAGGAAGCAGAGAGTGAAGGGAAGACTGAGGGAGTAAGGCAAACCTTTGCAGGCCACAGCCCTAGGAACACACTTCCATCCAGGCTCCACCTCCTAACAGGAAGTCACCTGCAGTGGTCCCATGCATGATCCAATCACAACCTCACATCCGAATCTGAGGAGCCATTTTAGATGTTAACCCTGACAGCCTGCCTGTAACTGGCCCTATCCACCTCCTCTCCCACGATCCCCCTACTCAAAGCCTCCACTCCCCAGCCCCCAGTGCTATCTTTGATCAAGCTCTCCTTCTCACCTAGAAGGTCCACCTTTCTTCCCCTCATCCAAATGTTCTCTTCAGCAGGAAATGCTGGGTCAGAATTAGGGTATACGTATACCAGTGAGATTCTTCCTCTTTACTGTCCAGTTCCATGACCTCATGCAGTCTTTGGACCACCACGTGCGCTCCTGTGAACAGCACTCCAAGCAGGAGACAAAGCAGCCCCACCCCCACCCCAAACTCCCTATGGAATGAATTTGGAGTCAAACTCTCTCTCTCCAACTCACCTCTAACAACCATGATCCAGTCGCTGTCTCTACAATTTACAATGTTTCAAGCTGCACTATAAATGAAATCATTCAATATGCAGTGCCTTGAATCTGGTTTTCTTCATTCACTAAAATGCTAGTGAGAGTCAATCCCACTTTTACATGTCTCTGTGGTGGGCCTGTCTTTGTAGCTGAGTAGTATTCCACAGTACAGATGTACCACGCTGCCTTTCTGTGTTCCCCAGTTGAAGGCTATATTTATCCTGATTTGGGGCAATTATTAATAAAGCTGCTATAAGTGTGCACAACAGGTTTTTATATGATCCCAAGTTTTTATTTCGTTAGGGTAAACATCTGGGGGGAGGATTTCCCACTGGGCTATATGGAGAAGTTACATGTACTGTCTTGGGAACAAACTATTTTGGAGAGAGGTTGCCCAGGTTGGATTCCCAGCAGGTATCTAGGCGTATTCCGTAGCTTCCCACCAAGAGCTTCTGTTAACTATTAGAATAGATACATGGTTGTGCCTCATGGTGGTTTTAGTTTAGAATTCTTCTGTGATACAGAGGATCTTTTTCATGAGAGGGCATGTTCTGCCAAGAAGACCTGAGTTTAAAAACTACTTCTGGCCTTGACTATGTGGCCTCCGCAGGTGACCAACCCACTCTGAGCCCTCTCCCTGGAAAGTGGGTAAGATAAAAGCATCTGCCTCACACAGTGGGTGCTGTGAGGATAAACAAGATTTCCCTGGCACAGCAAATACCCAGGCATCCATAACTGGGAGCTGATGCCTACTGTAGGGGCCCACTGGGACCCTAGCCGCACTGTTTTGCAAATCTTTTCCAGGCCACTTCCTTTCTCTTGGCTGTGGTCACCTGCCCAGGCTGCAGTTTCCTTTGTCAGTCCTCCATCCAGCTCCACCCCACTCCAGATCTAATGCCCCCTTCCCCAGCCCCTTCTGGCTGCTGACTCAGCAGCAGGGAGGAAGACATCACCTGGCAAGTAAGGAGGGAGGGGCCGGGCTCACTTTTTTTTTTTTTCAGGCTCACTTTTTTAAATCAACCTGCTCTCATGGGAGCTAACCTGGTCCTATGAGAAGCACATTACTGCTTTCCAGGACTGGTGCCCAATAAACTAGTCACCTTTTACTGGGCCCCACCTATTACAGAACCATCACTTCAATGTGTGTGCCCCTCCACCCCTGGGAGAATCACTTGTATCAAATGGTTGTAGCTGTCACAAATTAGTTGCAGTGCAGGAAAAACACAGCTGCCCACTCGGGCCTTGAGCTTTGGGCCTGCGAGCGATGGCAAGCTATTCCCATACTCACATATCCTGTGGGTTGCCACAGCCTTGGCCAGTTCACTGACTGTCTTAGTCGTTTTCTGCTGCTATACCAGAAATCCACAGACTGGGTAATTTAAACAATTGAGGTTTGTTTGGCTTATGGTTCTGGAGGCTGGGAAGTCCAAGAGCATAGAGCAGCCACTTCGTGAGGATCTCTGATGCCTCCAGAGAACTCGAACCTGTAGCCAAGCCAGAGGCTGCTAATATAACTTAGAAGCAAAGGAGTGTGGAAGCCTGAGCCCCTGCTGCAGGAGCACAGATGGGCTCCTGGCCTGGAGAGTCTCTCCATTGTTGAGGCGCTGGTGATTCATGTTCGCCTCTTGCCATCTTCCAGCCAGAGTTTCCTACTCACGGCTTCCAGCTCTGGGTCAAGGCCCAGCACAGAGCAGCTGTGCATCACATGAACAAATGAGTGAATGAATGAATGAATGGCTGAGGCCAAATTCTTCCTCCTTTGCTGGGCATAAGA